CTTTTTTGGGTCATTTTTGGGGGCTTGAGGGGGGAAACTTTAATTACATTGCGGTGAGGGGTTTTAGAGGGAAATTCTGTGATGTAGAAATTTGTTTTGTCATTTGAATTTTCGGACGATGGTGTTTTCGAGGATTTGAGTTGTGACCTTTGATCGTCTTGAGGGTGAGGAGTTTTAGAGGAAAATTTCAAGATTCATTTTTTTATTTTTTTGTTTATTCGCATTTTTGGGAGATGATGGCATTTCGTATTTTTGAGGATTTGAATGGAGAAGCTTTAATTATTTTTAGGGGTAAGAGGTTTTGAAGGTGAATTTAAAATTAATTTTTTTATTTGATTGTTTATTTGAATTTTTAGGAGATGAAGGTATTTCATATTTTTGAGGATTTGAATGGAGAAGCTTTAATTATTTTTAGGGGTAAGAGGTTTTGAAGGTGAATTTAAAATTAATTTTTTTATTTGATTGTTTATTTGAATTTTTAGGAGATGAAGGTATTTCATATTTTTGAGGATTTGAATGGAGAAGCTTTAATTATTTTTAGGGGTAAGAGGTTTTGAAGGTGAATTTAAAATTAATTTTTTTATTTGATTGTTTATTTGAATTTTTAGGAGATGAAGGTATTTCATATTTTTGAGGATTTGAATGGACAAGCTTTAATTATTTTTATGGGTAAGAAATCTCAGAGGTAAATTTCGAGATTTTTTGTCAGCTTATTTATGCATAAATCTGGGAATAAATTCATAAGATGAATCTACTGGTTTATCTCAAGGCTTTTCTACGTATTTTATTGACTAAAATGATTTACCATCAAATTTACAAGAGAACTTGAAATTTTTCGAGCGATGCTTTCGTACTATATTCGATGATGATTAATTATTTAATGAAAAATGTCGGGATATTTTTTTTGCAAAATTAATTTCTCAATAAAAAAATCGGAAATTCCTTCCTGACTTATTTAATCTCGAGACAAAACTCCCACTAACGAAGTCTATACACAAATTCACGATAAAATCCGCAGCCTTACCTCGCGAATTTATGTACATATTTTATCAATCTTAATATTTGCAAATGCAACAAATGAAACATAAGAATTGATTTCTTAATTTTCCTGCAATCATCAAAGATTAAAACTCGAATCCCCAAAAAACCTAAGGTTCACTCACAATTCAGTAATCATCAATTCCTTATGAATGCATTTTTATTAATAATCATGCATTATACATTTGTCTCTTCCATTAAAAGTTATTTACAAGAAAAATTAGTGCAACGTCGGTTGGAATAACAGCCGAACCCAGCCAGGTTCATCCAACGGAGAAAAAATAAAATAATGAATTTGAAAGTAATGAAACAGTGGAAAAGCAGAAGGAGAGTATATTCTTATTAAATTTTTTATTCGACGCCTGTAGGTCATCATTCCCCGTTTTCCGAGGTTCTGTCAGTTTTCGTGTTCACTTTGATTCTCATTTTTTATTGATAAAAATTGGGATTATTATTAAAGCTATACAAGCGGGATGGAATGTACCTCTGGCGCTGATCTCTCGCATTTTCATCATTTATTTTCCCTTCGAGGGAGAAACGAAAGAAGAAGAAAGATTTCAGTCTTCCTGAATGTTGACAAAACAGGACTGACCTCAACTCTAAAATATTTCAATCCAAACAGACAATTTCAATGTTCCAAAAACCCAGAGATATTGAACTTCAGTCGAATTCCGTATTTAAGCGGAGGTTCACCTCGGGAAAAACTTTTCGTTCTTCGAGAGAAAAATTTGAAAACGGTATTTTCCGCGTGATTTTTTCTCAGGAATTCTATTTTGTGGGTCCAGTGTGTCTCCAGCCGCTAAAAATCAGAAATTCACAATTTTTTAATTGAAAAATCAACTTTAAAAAATTCCCAATGCGTTTTTTTAAATAGTTTTTTCAATATGATTACAAATTTTTGGGTTTTAAGGAGATCCAAGGGCCTTGGCTATTTTTCCCTAGTGAAATGTAGAGCTTTCATTTGAGCCCCATTTGACCCCAACTTTCCGGACATTTGAAAATAATTTTATTATTTAAACTTTGAAGGTCTCAATTTGAATCTCGATACTGAACAGTTAGAAAACATTTTAAAAATCTGAAAAAAATTAGAAAGATTACTTTTGGGGGAGATTGACGAAATAATTATAAAATTGCAATTTTCGAAAATTACGAGTATTTGCTGGAAATAATTTATAACCAATTAATCTTCCACCGTAAAAAAAAATTTTTCCGAAAGTTTGAACAATTTCAACTGTTTCTTTATAAACAAACTGTAAAAGATACTTGTATATCCTTAAAGACCAAAAATTTGTCATTATATTCAAAAATATTTAAAAATCTATGAAAAAAATACGTTGGGGGTTTGTTAAATTGGCTTTTCGCTTAAAAAAAAATTTTAATTCCCAATTTCGAGTGGCCAAACTCAATTTTGAGCGACACAATAAGATTCCTGAGGAAAAATCACGTGGTAAATAGCATTACCCATTTTTTTTCTCGACAAAATAAACGAGTTTTTCCCTGGGGTGAACCTTCCCTCAAAAAAACTTCAGCAATTTCACGTACAAACTAAGCAATAGTGGTACCTCATTAATTAGCAATTCTGGACGGGTAATTTTATATCAGCAATGATCAAATTATATTCACTTGGCAATAATCAAGTCATTATAATTGAAATATACATGAATTTAACATCGGCTACATGATTCATCTCGTTCCCACGATTCCTTCGCCTCCATGTTCGAAATAAAAACGCATAATCCGCCAGTAATAACTAAATATCAGTGATACTAATGTAAAATTTGTCTACTGTATATTCGCTAACAAAAAATAGTTCCATTTTTTTCCATTTTTTCGTTTTTTTTTTGTCGTTTCACCTGTTAAAACCCTTAAAATATTCGTTAACATTTCAAAAAATATATATCTTAGTTGCTAGAACATGATTCGATAAAACGTTACCATCGTTAAGTAATTTTGATGATGGCATTTCAATCATTTACATATTGTGTATCGATCGACATCTGCTCCTCAGCCACGGATTTTCGGTCGAGTGAGTCCCTTTATTGTTCCCCCGTTAAGAACAATTTTGCATGTCTTGTTATGCACTAGATAAATTTTTTATGTGCCTCCATAAATGTTGAGATTCACTCAATGTGAGTAATTCACCGAAATAATTTATTCTTCATAATTCAATTTTAAAAATCGTTGAAATTTCTCGCTAAAAAATTCTCCCCAAAAAATTTCTCCCAATTTCTCATTTTTATCTGGCTTCTCCCAAAATGCGTAATTTTTTATGTTCATAATGTGGAATAATACCTTTCAATATAATATTCTGGGAGAATGAGCCTCTGTGAATGAAACAGCTTCGAATTGAAAATTCAATTTCAATCTCAAATCCGTGCCTCACATCAACCTTTATTTTTCATGAAAAATCCTCGGAAATAAATTTTTTAAAGGAATTTTTTAATCTAAAAAAATTATAAAAAAGGAGAAAATAATCGAGCCTCTGAATTCGCAGCCAATTCTCCAAATTTCCCAATAAATTCCAGTTAAATTAAAAAATGACATCAAAACATTCCAAATTTATCAATTTTTCACAAAACTCCTTGATTGACTCGAATTCAAATTCAAAATGAGATTCCAATTTCAAAAGCGAGCCTCACATCCCTTATTTTGACTGAAAAATGTTCAGCAATTAGCGTTTCCAAATTAAATTTTTTGGCGAGAAATTTCGCAAGAGAAAACCCGCCCAAAAACCCCAAACAACTACAGCAGTGAAAGATGGCATGACTAAGAGGTAGACATCGATGATCAATCCTCCTCAATTGTCGAAGGACTCAATAAAGTATTTTAAAACAGGCATATTCCAAGTGTTAATCTACGTTGCAATTGGAAAAATTAATTACTCAGTATGGCCTTATTGCGATCGTCTCACTATCATCGTTTCCCTAAGAGAATTCCTCCATTACAACTCTTACCTCTGCATTTGGAAATAGTGTAACAGAATTTTTTCATAAATATATTTACACGTTTTAAACTCTAGAAGAACTGATTGCAAATTGTTTAAACTCTGAGAAACAAGGGGACTATTCAGTGGACAATGTAAATCAATGCGAATTTTAATGGGCATAATTGTCAATTTCTCCAACGGGAATTGTTGATACGAAAAGCTTGTATATATCCGTGGGTACGTATATACATTATATTACAGGTATTATCATAAAAAATGGTATCTCGCGCTAATCAACACCAGCAAATCCCTGTGAGCCCTCGATTGCTTTTATTAGTTTGTCCCTCAGTTGCTGATAGCTCTCGTATGGTGGTAAATCAATTCGGTTGAAACTGAAAATATTCATTGAGGAATAAAATTATTCATGCCTTTCATTTATTCGGAAAATTCGGGACGATAGTCACTTGAATTTTCATGATTTCCAAGTGTTCACATCGTTATCCACCATTAATAATTAAATTTTTATTAAATTTGTAAAGAATTGAGTGAATTACTCCAAATTCGATTGAAAAATTATCGTTAATATTTTCTGTTGCTCTCGTTATTCATGAATTTCATTTACTCTGGAATGTCGAGACGACGGTCACTCGAATTTTCATGATTTTCAAGTATTCTTATCGTTATATGAAATTAACAATTGAATTTATAGAAAACAATCAATTTTCACTCTAAATTCAATTGGAAAATTTTGGTTGGGTTATTCTCTTTATTCTATTATGTACTTCATTGAACGCAATGAATAAAACATGAATAAACGAATAGAAAAACGGACAACAAAAGTGAAAAATGAATAAAACTTAAGAGAATTAAAAAAATTTAATGATATGGAATAAAAAACTGTGTTGATAATAGTAAATGAGTTTCCCAAATACAAAAAATAGCAAACTGAAATGTTTTCAATTATTATCTTGCAGAATAGATAAGAAAATCCCTGAATTAAATCAAATGCATGCGATTTTCCCAAAAATTCACTGAAAAAATGAGTAAAACTCACCAAGTATGAGCCCTAGGATAATTCTCCAGTGTTCCCCACTTCTCAATAGTAAACAACTGTGGTCCATTGCTCCCATACAGCTCCTTAAACCCATTCATGGGTACTCTAGAGGTGCCAGTAACAAATTGCAGCAGTCTAGCACGCATTTCATTGTTGAATGACAATACAACACGCCAGAACCACTGGACAGTGATATGATTAGCATGATAATCCCCCTTGTAAAGTGTATTTTTCTTCCAATCTTTGACATCAATGTGTTGAATACCGCACATGAGCAGCTCTAACTCGTGCTCATCGAATATTTTAACGAGTGTAAGTGGCACGAGAGCATTGAAACCATCGAGGAATGCATTCATCTGGTCCTGAACACGCGATACAAACCTCCATTGAATCACTAAACTTATGTATTCGTCTTTGTTTTCGTCTGTCACTGGTACATTTGCACCGTTTGCCTTCAATTCCCTCTGGGATGTGTGACCAAAACTCTCTTCGTCCACGCAAAATGTTAATTCCAGCTCTGATGGATCATTCTCCTTTATCCAGAGGAGGGAATTGTAGTACTCCGAGTCGACTGACTCCATGTCCTTCAGGTCTATTTGCTTGCCGAGCATCATTTTGTAGAACGGACGAATGAAAAATGCTGGAGAATAGAAAAAAAACTTTGAAATATTTGAGGCAATGGCTCAATTTCATGAAATTAATTTCAAGGGATTCAAGTCCTCACGAGTTCCACTTTTTTTAACATTGTTTAACGGGCTTAAATCTGCAGGATTTATTTACGCTATCAGTAATGGTTTATTAATTTAATCTAAATATTTACACTTCTTACAAACTTCGATTTTAGATGTTTAATCTAATATTTATGATGGATTTCTGTGGTATTTTAAGGATTTTTGGATCTGTTGTTTTTAATAAGGGGGTGATTGAGTTCGTAAGAGGAACTTTAAATTGTTTCAATTCTGTAATGAGTGTTGGAAATTTATGGGCAACAACGGCGAATCTGCTGGTCTTCTGTACTCACCATCTAGAAGTTTTCCGTGATACACAGCCATTCCAGCGATACGTCCGATGAATTTGAAATAATTCAGATGTTCCTCGTTGCACACTCCAGAGAATGGATTGATTTGTAAAGTGTAATTGTCCCTGTGGTTTGAAAAATGACAGTCAAGGATTGAAAAAATTAAATTCATTCTCTCTGATTCACACACACGAAATTCATAGAAAAACCTCGTGAATTCGATAAAATAGGAAACCTCTTGAAAATTCAGTCAATTTTTTGAGATTCTATGGAAGAATTCTGCAGCTTTATTGTTTTTTTTTGTAGAAAATGTCCAATTGAATAAGTTGTGTAGAAAAATCGAATCCCATTGATTTTTTCTACAGAATATTTCCAATTGAACTGAAAAATGAGAAACCCAGACAGAAAATTTGGCAGATTTTTCAATGAATTTTCTTCATACGTTCTAATCTTTCAAAATTTAATGGCGAAAGACTCACATAGCAAAAACAAATAAATTAAATTAAATCAACAAAAAATTAAATTTATTAAATTCTCTTTATTTTAATTTAATTTAATTTAAATTCATTCATTCTGATTCACACCCACAAAATTCACTGAAAAACCTGGCGAATTCCCCAAAATAGGAGACCTATTGAAAATTCAGTTAATTTTTTGAGTTCAGTTAATTCTATTGATTTTTTCTACAGAATATTTTCAATTGACCATTTACACTCAAAAATAGAAACCCATATAGAAAATTCGGCAGATTTTTCAATGAAATTTCCCATACGTTCTAATCCTTCAAAATTCAGTGTCGAAAAACTCACATGGCCGAGTACTCAAACAGTCCATAATAAGGATTGAACATCTCCTTGGAGAGCAGGAAGAACCATTCCCGGGCAAGTCCCCCATAGTCGAGCCCCACTTCCCCCTCGAACTCCACCCACAGTTTGGTCTTCAGTATCTCAACTCTGTTGACCGAACTGATGATTCGATAGGAGTCCTCGAGGATATTGCTCCTTCCCACCTTGATCTCAAACTTATTGGGCACACTGCTTGGTTTTCTCAGCTGTGATTTCAAATATTCGTACTTCAACTTGTAATCACGTGAATATGGTACAGCGGGTCCAGCTATCTGGGGATTTGACATGCGTGGATCCTCCCACTGGGTTGTCCTGGTGTTGTGATCGATGAAGAATATGCGGCCATCGGTGTGAACACGCTCCTCCCAGCCCTCTGGCAAGGGTCCCAGTTGATCCAGATCACTTCGTGGAGTCGTTGAAGGCAGATTGTGATTGGGCATTGGACTGGGTCTACCTGTTCGTGGGTCCACCCATGTCGTTGCTCTCTCGTTGTGATCGATGAAGAACATTCGACCGTTCGGGGCCAGCTGCATACTCCAGCCAGGAGGCAGTCCGTCACCGTTAGGAATCGGCAATGATGGCTTCAGAATAATTTTTTTCATATTATTGCTAATTAGCTGGATTTTACAGAGGAAATTCTTGAGTTGTTTTTCAAGGATTTCTTGGTAGGTTAAGTTTATTCGTTTACTTTACCTGTTCGGAAGATCGTCTAGAGCCCGCTGGACTGTCGACGTTATCGTCACTCTGTAGGCATACGTTTAAAGATATCTCTTCTTTAATTTATAATTTTGACACTGTTACACATGTCTGCCTGCCAGATTCATCGATCAATGAATTTTTATCTAAAAATCACTATGCCCTTGAGAATTTTTTTGAATATTTCACACCTAGACACTCACGACGAAGGGGAAAAAACGTGCAGACAATTTCTGGGTCATTCACTGGTGAAGTGGTTAAATTGCATATATTCTTATTTTATGATAAGCCCTCAATTTCTCGCAGAAAAACTCTGTTCGTGAAGTTTTTCCAATAAAAATTTAGCTAAACCTTTGAAAAAAAAAAAATAATTTTATGGACAGTTGATGAATGTTCAGATTTTACTGATAAAAATCACAATTATGCTGAGTTCCCATAGAATAATTGGAGTGCTATTCACGTCTTCATTGATGTTTCCATGCAATTTTGAATTTATATCAAAGTATTAAATCCCAATCATCTCCTGATCAGTGAAATGAAATTATCTAGTTTCCTCCCACCACTTCTCCACTGAATAATCGATTTCGAAAGAGGATCAGTCCTCGACAAAGCAATAAGCAAATCAACTATTGAGTACCTGATCATCACCCTCAGCTAGATACCCCCGTTGGTCGACAGACAGTCCAGAGTCGGAGGAAACATCACCAACGAATGTTCCCCCATTATCACTATCTCCGTCTTCCTCTCGAGTTAATTCCCGATCCTTACACATACATGCATCAATGATTCATCTTTCATTTTAACATAATTAGTGCATGCAACTGTTGACGAAGCGACAGAAGAAGTATTTTCCTAAGTCTAATCGCTAGGTCTAATTTCTTCACGAACACAAGTAACGAATGGAGAATGAATTGTGAGATTTCCCATACCAAGCAAACACATAATTAGCAAGGCCTCCACCAAGAGATGAGTTAGTAACCCTCATGTTAATAATCTCTCAGTGATGCAACCCAATGTGTCAATGTCAACAGTTTGATTATTCTACCTGACTAATGGCTGAACTTCGATGGGATCTACTCTCAGCGTCGTCCACACTTATATGAAATCTTCGTTGGAATTCAGTCGCTGCTGTATCTAAATTTCGTTGCTCTACGGTTACACCACCCACTGGTGCTGCGTTAGTTCTGAATAGAAAAATAATGAAATTAGAGAACTGGGAAATTTTTGTCAAGAATATTTCACTTCAGTCCTAGGCTTTTTTTATTTAAGAAATAGCTGACGTGACAATTCAAATTTCATGTGGATGAGTAAATTTTTGGGTTAAATACAAGAGAATTCAGGAGAGAATCAGAATTTTTCAATAAAAATATTCCTAAATGGAAGAGTATATTTGAGAGAAAATCAAAAGAAGAAAAATCTATTGTTGGATTATTGTTAGAATTAATCTCGAGGAGTAACTGATATATTTTATTCCATCAAATGCATATGCGATGAAAATAATTTTTTGTCATCCACAGAATGTAATTTTTTTTATTTTTTAATGTTGAATATTGAATTGAATGATTAAATATTTGGATTGATCTGAAATATTTGCAATTATTTAGACGAAATTTTCTGGGGAGAAATAAATAATGTTTCGATAAAGTATTTTTTTCTCTCAGCGGAATGATGCTTACGTAGTTGGCCGGTCCCACTGAGTGAATCTGGCTATATGATTGACATAGTAGGTTCTGCCATTTGCATCCTGACGTTCCTCCCAACCCGGTGGCAGTGGCCCATTTGGTGTTGACTGGAAAAATGTTATATTCATTTAAAAAAACGTCGAATCAATCACCTTTCAGGGGTACAATTCGTACGCCAAGAGTCTGATGATTCAATTAATCAATAAAGTAGTTTCAACTTTCGGGAAAGTTCTCCAGCTGTTTGAAAAGTTTTCTGTTTATAAACGCTTCATTGATTTTTCAAACAATTTTTTTAGAACGAACAAAACTTCTCGTGAAAATTGAAAAAAACGGCAATGAGCAAATGAAAAAATTGTGCTTCAATAAAAGGAAGTGATAATTAACTGAAATTAATTGCAAGTTTAAACCAACAGTTTCAAAAAATCAAAATTGATAAATAATAAATGATGTTTCAATAAATGGAAATGATAATGAATTAAAATTGATTGCTAAATCAAATAAATAAACAGAAAAATTTCTGAAGTTTTGTGAAGATGAAAATTCATCATTAAACTGAATAAATTGAAATTCAATATTAATGAATAATAACTAATGGTATATTTACATCGGACTGTTGAACAGGACTATTATTAGAGGTAGGACTCGGTTGATCCAGCAGTTCCCACCCCCCAGAATCCGAGACATTATCATCATTGCTCTCTGGAGTCGACGAATCCCCAATATAAGCATGATAAATCTCCAGGGTTCCCTTGATCTTGGCCCGTTGGCTGGAATGACTACGTGGACGCAGAATGTACTGTTTAGCTGGTATCGTCCTACCCATCTGTTCCTTCGGCAAATTGGCCAGTGTCAGCTCTATCATCCCCAAAAAGTCATCTCTCGTCAGACGATTCTCGTCGAATACCTGAAGTACTAGTTTGTGTTCACTCGGCTTCACCTGCGCAACACGAAGAAAAATAGTAATTGAAACAAATCGTGAAATTACTTTACACTCACAAGATGAAGAGCTCATACTGTACCCGACACTCACCCTGAAAATGAACTCCTCATCCCAGACAGGATTGAGTGTCTTCTTTTTCGTTTTCGTAAGTACGGAATCGACTGTCTCATGCCCTTCAATTGGGTACAGGTCAATCCTCACGTAAGGATCACTGGCCCCAAATATATCCTTCTTAGCAAGTTGATGACCAGCGACTACTCGCAATCTCAACCTGCTTGTAGCTTCGTCATTCTGAAAATCATAAAAATTAATGTCAACTTATTAAGAACAAGAGGAGTTTAACAATTAATTTTTCAAATTATTATCTAACAATTAAGTTATTAAGCTCCTCATGTCCTAACAACAATGACAATTGAGTTATTAAACAATAAATAATTGTTTTGTTTAACAATTAAATTATTAAACTCCTGATGTCCTCCTCATATCGTCAACCTGCCTGTAGCTTCCCCATTCTGAAAATTCCCAAAACTCTTATCAATTCTGCTCCAAAAATCTGGGATTCCTGATCCACCATCGCCCCCAACTCCCTCCCCACCGAATTGATCTTCATGAATGGAGCCAAACCCCCACGAATCACCGAGTAAAGACGAACAAGTGTGAAGGAACATCACAGCATTAATTGCATTGCACAATTCGCTGAGTCCGACCATTTCCTCCAGTCGAACTCCCCAAGAGCCTCAGGAGTCCTCATTAAAAAATCTTAATCATGAAGAATTGATTGGAACCCAGGTCACAACGTGCTGATCATCCCCAAGGCAATCACCCCGAATTTCCAGACACTGACAGCAACGGAGAGCCCTCACGAGACAAAATAATTCCTCCCAACCTCTACTTGTCAAAGTGGCACATCAAATTTTACGTACACTGTCATCATCGACGCCGGTTGTCGGATCGTATCCATACACATGATCGTCTGCCATTAATGTTGGTTATAAATTAATAACACCAGGGTAATTGTGGATTACGATTATGCCTCGAGACAATATCAGTTTTGTTCAATCACAAATTTTTTTTCGTGTGCCATGAAGGAAACCTATTTTGTGTGAGCAGCCCCACTCCTACGTTTTACTCTCTCCGCGAGGGGCAGGGGAGGGGATCTTGCATGCGAGACGGATGTGACATAAAATATGCGTTATTCCAAGATGGCGGCGCCTCCTGGGCACCTTTTTTCAAATTCCTTGGGTGAGCTTTTCCTGTTTTTTTCGGTTTGCTGCGATTGCTCTTGGGGTGGAGGTGACTTATCCAGGGGCTTTATTTTTTTATGGTGTTGTCGAGGGAGGGGTGGGGCAGTGGGGCAATCATGAGTCATTTTGGGATGATCTGGAGTGGAAGAGGCGAGAGCAATCGGGCACGAAGTAGGGAAATGAAGGGAAAATGTTCTGTTACTGGGTATGTATTGGCGAATATCTTGAAATTGAAGAGTGATAGCAAGATTTTTGAGAAAACCTTTTTTGTGGAGAATTTCAAGAGCTACAAAAGAGATCTTAACATGTTTTTCGATATCTCCACTGGATTCGGAGATATTTGTGAAAAACTGAAAAAGAATTTTTTCGTTTTCTTTTTTTGTTAGAAATAGAATTTTTGTTTTTGGAAAAAATCTCGGAAACGAAGGGAGATAGAAAGATTTTTGTAGATACCTTTTTTGTAGCATCTGAATTTTTGTACAGGAAAGATTTAGGCATATTTTTCGCTATCTTTAGTAGATTCGGGGATATTTGCCAGAAACTGTATAAAACCCTGAAATATGACTCTCCCAACGGCGACCAATCGTCAGTAGAAGGCGCATTACACTCCACTGATAAAAATTCCATAAATCATAAGATCTCGACGAATTTCTTCTGAATTGAAAGCCAGATGTCCACCGATGCATTCACGACGTCAGAGTATTGCGTCGTGTGGCGTAATTTTTCTCCCCCGCGTGTTTATTTTGACGGCAAAAGTGTCATAAACATTAATGTATAGATTGCAGATTAAGAAACCGTTGAAATGCACTTTTCCTCCTCCACCGAAGCCTCAGGTGTTTTTTTTTAATTTGCCTGTTGACTACACCTCTTGCCCCCCCAGTAACTTATTCCCTTTTAATAATAAGCATGAAAAAATTTAATAGAAAAATCTAGGGCTTTTTCGAAGAAATTCTATTGAATTTCTGTTGGAACTCTGAGAATTCTCTTGAAGTTTTATTGGAATTCTATTTAAATTGTTTAATTTACGCCATTTTAAAAGAAAATAAATTTTTAGTTTTTTAAAATAAATCTTGGGCATTAATTGTTCAAGTTTTTTCCAGTTTTTTTTTTCGTAATAAAAAAATTCATACCCAAGAGTTTTTATTAATAAAATCCCAACAGAAGAAGTTGTATAGAAAAATCAAGCTTTATAGACATTTTTTATAAGCAAATATTTATTTAAGAACCCACAATTTTTAATAAAACTGACGCAACAAACAAATCGAATTTTTCAATAGAATTCGAATAAAACTTCAGAGAATTCCATTAACAAATTATATTTGTTTTTTTGCGCCATTTCTATAGGACTCTATGCAGCCCGTCAAGAGATACTTAATAGAAAAAATTAATATAAAATTAATATTATCATTCTTCTATGGAAAATTTTCGACCACAAATTTTCCCATTTTTTCCCCTGCATTTTTATTTATTTCTCATAATAAAATTCAAGAAAAAAACTCGGAAAATTCTTACCCAAAAATTCCTACAGAAAAAACACCAACAATATCTATATCCATTTTTTTGTAAGCAAATATCAACTTAAATACCCCGAAGGGCGTTCCATAATTTCGAAAAAACTGACGCCAAAACCAAACATAATTTTTAACTCATTCCACTGTTCTTTTTTCTATAAGAATTCTTGGGCATGACTTTCCCAAGTATTTTTCTTCAATTTTATCATGGGAAACAGATAATAAAAGTGCAGCGGAAGTCCAACGCCCAAGAATTTCCATAGAAAAATCAAAACAAATAGAATTACTTAATAGGTTTCTAATAGCCCTTCAGAATTCTCCCAGGGTTCCAACGAAAAGTTCAACAGAATTTCCCAGAGAAACCTCTCAAAAATTTCTCCTACACTGTCAGAAATTTTTTAAAATTCAACTAACAGATCCCTTTGAATTTTTAATATTCTGAACTCGAACTCAACTTCAGATAAATAAAATATCTCACAAAATTCCTGATTCATAAAATAGCTCACGAAATTCCTGATTCACCTTGGAAATTCAATAAAATAAAGTTTTTCCTCGTGATCATTGAATTTTCTCTGTCGCATTTGTATTTTCAAACTCATTACGAAAATTGAGCAGCAGATTGAAAATTCAGAGGAAAATTTGCCTGAATGTTCCCGATTTCCATTAATTTTGTCGCATGAACCCGAGAGATCAAATTTCTCCAAGAATATCCAAGAACATTCTGATTTACCACTAACAAGATCAGCGTAAATTCCCCGTAAACAATTCCTTGTTAAAGATTTCCAGATTTTGAACTGAAAAATTCTCGACTAATTTTCCAACAGTGTACGTGATTAATCACTTATTCATTAGTCTTACAATGGGCTGTGGTTCCGCGAGAGAGAGACGCGTAGGCCGTTGGGGTGGAACGATCTCATTAGTGGACCTTCTCCTGGCATTCCAGGTGTACGCTCTCCTCCTCGAAGATGGTCTCTCTACTCCAGCATACATTGGATCCGTCAGTTCACCGGGCATAACACTTATCACTGTATTACAATAAATTACTGGACATATCCCTCTTCCCAGCTGTTCGGTATTTCAAGTTGTATTATCAGTCGCATCGGTCATGTGTCACATTAAATCACATTTGAAGAAGGAGAGAGAGAGAGAGAGGGATCCCCCTCAGCCCATGAGCATTCGAAAAATCCCAACGATCCTTAACGAATTAAAATTCGTCAAATATCACTTCTCCACTAATTCCGCGACTGCACCGTCAATTTGCAAATTCAAAATTACGTAAAGCCCTCGATAATTGTATTTTTACGACTAATGAGTCCCAAGAGAACGAACAATCATTGAGAAAAATAATACGCGTTAACAAGCACTGCACACTCACTAAACTGAATAAATTTCCCTTCTCTTTTTTTTATTATCCAAGCAAAAACTGGAAAATCGTCGCACAAGTTTGATAACGAGAGCAAGGTGTCTCAGCTCCCCGGAGATAACCGAATGATTGCATAGTTGGGGGGAAAAAGAATGTTTAGATACGCGCGATGATACTTGAATAAGTGAGATAATTTCGTGGCTCAATATCTCGTGAGTAACTCTAGTCGAATAATCTTCAATTAGCGTTTGTATGAGAATGGAGCTGATGCTCTCAAGGCCGTCAGTGATAAGGAATAATTGGAAATTGAGGGGGTCTTTTTCGGTGGTTTCGGGAACGGGATTTGTTGAGATCTCGTTTAATTTATCGAATGGGGATTTTTGGGATGCCGACGATGATTTCGTGGGCGAGAAAAATTTTGATGGAAAACCTTGCGCTTTCGCTGAGAATTCTAGTGAGTTCTGGTGGAGATTGTGTCTACGTCAATTCAATTAAGAATTATGCAGTGGGCCCTCGTATTTTCAATTGAATATTTGTTTATAACATAATTAGTTATTAAATTTGATTATAAAGAATTGTTATAAACAGATATCCACATTAAATATAATATATATTACTATAATTAGTTATAATTGTAATAATTATAACTAATTATAACATGATTAATTATTAATTTTGTTTACAACTAATTGTTATAATTAGTTATAAACAAATATCCATTCTGTTGGATTTTCCTCATTTGTTCTCTAGGATTTCGCCATGAGAAACAAAATAAAAATGCAGAATTTCTGTAGAAAAATCTAAACAAATGGAATTTTTAAATCGACTTCTGATAAACCTTCAGGAGAATTCTTGCAGAGCTCCGAAAGAAATTGAATAGAATTTCCCCGAGAAAGCGCTGGGTTTTCCAATTAAAATTCATTATTTTGATAAATGATTCAATCCTGAGCTGTTAATTTCGGTATTCGTTATGCTCACACATTTATTGATCTTTACAATCCGAAATCATCCACCCAACTGGTCGTACTGCTGAAAGAAGAGTCACAAGTCTTTCCTGATTTTTATTCCCCGCTAAATATTTGTACAGGCCATCACTTCGTTGATACGCAATGGGCTTCCAATTGGTATTCACAGCGTGATCCAACGAGTTGCGGATGGATCACTGAAGGATAACCAACATTGTTTCAATTTTAAATTCAAGAGCGCAGTTGAGTTTCGTCATTGGTGACCTGAGCTCGAAGTGGTGAAACGAGATAAATCGAGATGAGTTTTTGACAATTATTTCTTGAGCTCAGAGAGATATCAAAATCTCCCGGAGGATCTTTCCACAGGGAAAAACGAGATGCTGCGATCTCTGTTCGATTCGGAAATATTTATCGAAGTGACTGTCAAATAAAAATGATTTAATTCGCAACAATCCACTGTTTACTCAACTTCATCTCAATTTTTTAAATAAACACCCCCAAATCTCCTAGTAATATCGAGGCTCTCATGCCAACCTTCTTCTAAATCCCAATTTCCCCCACAAAAATTCTCCATCAGCCAAAAACTCAAATCAATAATATCCCCCCCCCAAAAAAAATGATCAAAGTTTCTTCATAATTTAACTCAACAGCATCAGTTGACTCACTACGTCCATTAAAATTCTCCACTCCCCCCCGTCTCCCCAACTCCCCAATTAGAAAAAATAAGGTAAAACTTATCTACAAAATAATTCCCCCCCCCCGGCCTCCAAATGTTTCCATCCATAGAAAAAATCTCGATAAAAATATTCTTATCAAATTCGTGGTAAATCATTCCTCCCAAGTTTATCTCCATCAGTAGTTTAAAAAATCCTAACGTTTCACACCCTTTTTACAATTTGTTCATGAGAATTATAAACATCTCCTGACGCCATACAATCAGTTAATTATCTTTAAATTACATAACTACTATTTCAGCTATTCTCACATTAATCTGTTGTGTCAAGCAATAAGTATTGACGTTCATCAACCGAAGAATGAACAGTGAATTCCCCTCGTCGCAGTCCGTCAATTACCTAAGAATCATCAGAATGCAGTGGAATAACGAATTTTGGGCCGAATGGGGATCGATAGGTGACGCCAACGTCTGAGAACACTTTGTTGGGAAGTGCGAGGTTGCAGAGGTAGAGTCTGCCATTGTCAGGGCTGTGAGACAGTGGTAGTGCCCCTAGAAGGCTGAACTTCGAGGAGATTCCAGGTGTTCCAGCAGAAGGTGGCTCGATAGCCAGGACTGGAGCTCTGTTTCCCTTCACCCACTTGGCAACAGAGGGAACGACCCTGGGGGAGTCCTCCTCGCAGAGGGCGACGAGTATCAAGTCCACCACCGAAGCCAATTTGTCTATTCTCGTCTCGACTTTATTCCCAGTCATCTTGTAGAGGGAGAGCTCCTGGAGGAGGGACACGTTCTCTGAGTTCTCGATGTAGACGACTGTCTTCACCCCGTGGGAGGAGAGCTGGCGTGCGCAGTTGACACCAGCAGCTCCGGAACGGTGGGGCCCACAGAGGGCCACCACTGTCGGCCACTGGTGGGCGTTCTTCGGGTTCAGCCGGTGGGCTCCACCCAGGAGCTGGAGAGTTATCTCGGCTCCTGCACGACCCAAGAGCTCCACCTGGGGATTTGATTTTTCAGAGTTGATTTTTTCAGTTGTTGGGTTTTCTGAATTATCTGGTGAATGAACGATGGAAATGAGATGCATGACCTGTAGTTTTGAAGCTCGAGAAAATATCTTGGAAATGAACCTCAATTTTTTGGATTTCACTCTACCAATGCCGAGATATTCAAAATTATGTACAAGTAATTCAGAAGAAAAACAAATTTTCACTGGAATCAACTTGTAAAGAGTTTTTGCTGGATATCTGGAGATCTGAAGGAGATAGCGAAAATTTTATGGGGACCTTTTTTGGAGAGCACATCGAGGGCTACAAAAAAGATTTTTACTAAATTTTCGCTATCTCCAGTGGATTCAAAGATATTCAGGGGAAAAGATTTGAGGATTTTTGAGTAGCTGAATAACCGAGGGAAAAACCGTGTTCTTTGATTCCTAACATCTCACTGTCTTTCCCAGAGTGAAATCCGGTGATTTACAAAATGACATCAAAGTAACGTCATTAAAAGAACGAAACATTGCAGATGAAAAAAAACAACTCCCAGATTGTCATCATCATCATCAATTGAAATAAACCCTTGACTCACCCGTCGTTCCCAGCTGACCCCCAGCCTGTCAGCAGCCCCAATGAGCTGCCTGTGCAGCTCCAGTGTGATGCTAGGAATCACCAATCCATCATCAGTCACATATTCTCTCTCACCACTGTGAGGCACGACAATCTGCCTCAGAGTCGTGGGTTTCGACACAAGAATATTCTCGTCATGTCGATACTTCCCTCGACTATTCTCCGACTGTCTCAGGACGTCTGGCTTCGAGGAGTTGATCTCCTGCCAGAGAGCCTCCTTGTTGAAAAGTGCGAGATTCTTCTCAAAATCAAAGTCCTGATTGAGGGACTGATCGATGGGAGTTCCAAACGCCTGTTCATCCCTCTCCTGCCACTTCTGCCTCTGCGTTCTCCTCTGGTTGGCCTTGGCATTCGACTCAATCGTCATTTTTCCGTTCGTCACCTCGGGAATGGGAATTGGATCCGTCGCTTTTTTCGAGTGGGAACTGGCTGGTGGCACTGAGGAGGGAATGCACTCGGAGACTGATCTGTTGGCTCGCTTCGCTATCGGCCTCTTCACTGTTACTTTGCTCGACATCTGGACCTCTTTGGCGCCTGCCTCCTCCGTGGAGATTATCTCCAAGTTCTCGATGTCCTTCGCGTTGATTACCACCTGGGGCGAGGGGTGCGGCACACCGTCTCTGAAGGCCTTTGAAATCGTCACTGTCTGACGGTTGAAATCCGATATCTGGCCCTGGTAGGTGCCCAGGTCGTCCACACATTTTATGGAGACCATGCAGCCCACGAATTGTTCCGACATCTCGAGGGGTTAATTTGTTCTTCTGGAAGGATAAGAAGGCGGATTGGTCGATGGAGGGACAAATTTGGTGGAATGAAAAATCTATTTATTTTTTTCAAAAAATTCTTTGGGCAATTTTTCGTGGTTTCTACATTTTTCTGTAAACAAATATCTAATTAATCTAATCTAATAAAAATAAGTAAATGATTAATCTAATTAAATATTTAATTAGATATTAATTAGATATTTAATTAATTGGTTCTTCTGGAAGAATACGAACGCGGATCGACTGACGAAAGGAAAAATTGGTGGAATAGAAAATCTTTTTTTTTTTAAGAAACTTCTTGGGCGTAAATTTTTCAAGTTTTTCCATTTTTCTGTAAACAAATATCTACTATAAATTTTAATCCATCAAAATTTTCAATAGCATTGACACAAAAAACAAAAAGAATCTTTCCATAAAATTCTCATTGTTGTCATCTTTGTACATTTTGATTTGTTTGTAGAAATCAATGAAGTTCGCCCCTGCGGAGATCAATTTTGTTATTTGACTTGATCAATTTTTATCATTTAGACGTAATAGATTCCTCATTTCGAATCTAATGACCGCAGCGGCCAAAAACTACAGAACAATTTCAAAATTCAGTCAAAATCTTCTCCACAACATAAAATTCTAATAGAATTCTTGTAGAGTTCAATAGAATTTCTTAGGAAAAGTACTAGATTTTTCTGTCATATTTTTGGACATCTTCATACTAAATTTTATTTAAAAAACGTACTGTTGAGCTGAACCTCCAGAATATCAAAATCCCCATCAAAATATTCATGAAAAAAATCCTCGAAACAACAATAATATAATTCAACAACAATAACCTCCAAAATAATCTGTGAATACTGGATACAATGAATGGTTCAACCCCTCAAAATCAATTAAAAAAATATATTCTGTTGGGATGACCCTCCAGAATGGAAGGAATTGTCAACCTCAAGAGCTAGAGGATTCGCCCCCTGAATTTTCATACCTCTAGCTTCAATCCCGAATGAACCTCGCCGACAAGCTTCTTTTATCTCTCCGGATGTCAACCGTTGTTCACGAAACTCCCGACGCAGCTTTGATCATCATTCTCATTGATAAAAACTGGAAATTCTGTTTGGAGCAGTTGGAGTATCGTTCACTGCGAGGTTATGGACAACTCACAATTTTTTTGCTCCAAAAACCGACGGGTTTTCATGAACGAAGCGATTGGACGATTCTTTCACCGAAGGGGAAAAATTGTTCCTGGAAAAATCGGCGTGACTGTCCTGCGACAATTGAACGAGCGCTGAACAGTCTCCTGAGATATTTGTGAATTAATTTTCAACTGTAATTTTCATTCTTCAGCGGTTCATCGTCATTTTGCGGAAATTGTTTCGACGTTTGGTTCGTTTCGATTGGCCGTAATCTCTGGGATCCAGTCTAAACATGTTTGCTGGTGGCCAATAGCAGCCGAGGGAATTCAAAACTCCGTAACCGTTCCCCCGAGAAACCGTCAAGTCCTCGCGATCAGTGCGAGACGTTTTATTTTGCGAGGGAGAATGTGCGTCCTCGGGTTTGTGTCGCCTTTCGTCCGAATTTTCATTGAATTTTGATTATTTTTGGGTGACAGACAGCTGTGATGATGAGTGAAACAATTGGCGATGTCTCGAGGGTGAGATTAACATGAATTATTACTAGAAAATGGGATTTGACAATGAAATTCAGGTAGAAGTGGGGACGAGGAAGGCTCGAGACGACATCAATCTTCTTGCACGGGGGATATCTCCTGAATGAACGATCCGGTTTGGACGAGTCAGGGCTCATTTTGATGGCATTTTTTCACTCTTCAAAATGAGTCCTCATTTTTGGCATTTCACTCAGCCAATCTCGAGATATTGACAGTTAAAGATCCTCCGTTTACATTCGTTCAGAAGAAAGAAGGGGAAATGAGTTGTTTTTGATTGTCAATAACTCGAGACTGGCTGAGTGAAATTCAATAATTTTTTTTTGCATTCCAAAGAACTTTTTTCAGGCTTTGATATGAGCCTCGAGTCATCCAAATCCCATAATTTGGTCAGGAGATATTACCGATTCAATGGGGTCAATATTTTCTCCTGCCCCAGTTAGTTTTAATTGATAATCGGTTTTTTCGGAATATCTCGAAATCTAAGGGAGATAGAGGAAATTCTGTAATAACCTTTTTTGTAGCCCTTGAAATTCTCCACAAAAAAGGTCTTCACAGGAATTCCCCTATCTCCTCTAGATTTCGAGAAATTCGAGAAATTCGAGAAAAACTGCTCCAAGCCCTCAATTACGAAATAATTTTTTGTTCAGAATGAGCGACTGTTGGATTCCATTCGTCCTTCTGAAGGCGCAGTCCTTCGAAATGAAATGTCATATCTCTATGGAAGAGACCCCAGTATCCTGGCATACAGCCAGCGTCCAGGGCCATCAGCCCAGTGTAAGAAGAATCTCTCCTCCGACTACGAGATCGAGGAGTCAATGTGCCCTGAGGGTGCCTCCCTGGGGTCTGAGTCCCTGTCCTCGCAGACTGTCAAAGTCTATCTACGCCTCAAGCCCTTCCCAAGGAAGATCAAGCTGTCAGATGAGCAGGAAGCTGCTTATGAGATCATAAATTGCACTACTCTGCTCACAAGAATTCCATGCCTCGACAGCACAACGATTTCACTGAAGAAAAATTGTCAGGTGGACACTGTTTGCAGAAAATTCACGTTCACAGAGACCTTTGGCCCTGGGACTTCGCAGTTGACGTTGTTCGAAAGGGTCATCCAGCCACAGATGGTGGAATTCTTTGGGGGACAGAATTGCATTGCTATGACCTATGGTAAGACGAGAAAAATTATTAAGAAAATGATTTTATAGGTATTCTTAAATTTTTAATGGGTTTCAAATGGGGAATTATCTTGATAATAAAGCATATATTTTCTGTCGACGATTTAATCATTTTTATTAATGAAATAATTCTATTTTTAAATTGATAAAAAACGATTTGGTCTCTTTAAAATTTATTAATTCAATTTCTCCGCAAGTTTCAACAAATTATTTACCTGATGATGAAATCTGTAATGTGGAACTGTTGTCCCGAAATCTCTCAAAACGTAAACAATTCAAAAAAAATATTAAAACATGAAAAATCCGTTGAAAAAAACAACTATTAATACTAAATTATTGATCTCTTGTAATTGTTAGTATAAAAACAAATTGAATCTTTGTATGATATTAATCATTAATATATTAATTCTGTGGTTGAATTGAGTTGCATTACATTGTCTGTGACAAGCCAGAAAATTTCGGCTGATTCCTAAAAAATAGTAATTTCACAAAAATTATTTGCTATTTTGTAGTTAAAAATTTCGGTGGAAATATCGTAGTTGAAATGTCGCCTATTTGAAAAGACGCGACCGTGTAAACTAGTTGATTTTGGGTCTGAACGAAAATAATACCGATTAGTCACTAAATTGCTCATTAAATTCGATCTTTCCAGGTACGACAAACTCAGGCAAATCCCACACCCTCCAGGGATCGACCTCCTGCCCAGGAATAATCCCCAGAAGCCTCGAGTACGTCTTCTCCAACATAAACCCAAAGACATCCCCCTGTTACAAGCCACTCCACAACTGCGACGTGATAAGTCTCAGTGCGAGTGAGCGTTTGGCAGAGATCGACGCAAAAACCAAGATATTGTCCTCGATAATCGGCGAGAAGCACCAGTACATAAACGCCTACAAACAAATGCAGAAGCTCCTGGAGGAGGAGTCCCCCCAGCGACCGAGTGAGGCGTCAGATGCCCAGTACCTGGTCTGGGTCTCCTTCGCCGAGATCTACAACGAAGTTATTTACGATCTGCTGTCCAACGAGGCCCAGAGACGGAGAACGCCCCTCAAACTAGCCACTGACAACCACGGGAGGGCCTTCATCAAGGGGCTCAAGACAGTCTGCGTTAATTCAGGGTCTGAGGCTTATCAAGTACTTATGGCTGGCCAGTGCAATCTCAAAGTCGCTGCCACAGCTCTCAATGCCAGGAGCTCAAGATCTCACTGCATTTTCACAATTACATTGCTCCAATTTTACGGTGAAAATAAACCTGAGTCTGTGGAAATTAGCAGGTTCTCCTTCTGCGACCTGGCGGGCTCGGAGCGCCTGAAGAAGACGCTGAACGTGGGGGACCGCCTCCGGGAGGCCCAGAACATCAACACCAGCCTCCTAGTGCTGGGTCGCTGCCTGAAGTCCATCTACGAGGGTCAACTGGTGAAGCAGCGTCACGAGCACATCGGCCCCTTCCGCGAATCCAAGCTGACGCGCCTCTTCCAGCAGGCCCTGTCAGGCAAAGAGCCCCTGGCCCTGATCGTCAACGTGAACCCCCTCCCCAACCTCTACGAGGAGACCCAGAACGTCCTGAACTTCGCAGCAATAGCGAAGAAGATAATAATCCAGCCGAAGAAAGAGAAACGCCGAAGATCCCGCACGAGGTTCTCCCTGGTGGTGGCGCAGAGTGCGAAGACAGCAACAGACTGGGAGGACACAGACCTGGAGATAATAACCGAGCAGTCGTCGCTGGAGGCAGAGGAGAGCGAGAGCAACTTCTCCTTCCTCCAAGAGGACTACGACGAACTGCTGGCTGAGAACGAGCGCCTCAAGCACGAGAACGCAGCCCTGAAGGCCTCCAACATAAAAAGAGACATTCAAATCCGCGAGGAGATGGCCAACTCGTACTCTGAGATGATGGACAAGCTGGAGAGGGACTACAAGGCGAAGATGCAGGACATGGAGGACCAGCAGGAGGACCTGCTGGAGTGGCAGTTGTCCCGGCTGAGGGCGTACTACGAGAAGAAGCTCGCCTGCAACAAGCGAAAGAGATCTGACGACGACGACGAGGAGGAGGAGGATGAGGCGAGCATCAAAGAGCTGGAGGCACAGGTCTCCAAGCTGTCGTCGGAGGTGACGAGCCTCAAGGGGACGATAAAGGACCTCCGCAGGGGGAAGGAGAGCCTCGAGGGGGAGAAGAACACCCTGATATACGAGTCCAGCCTCCTCAAGGACGAGTTGAAGAGTGTGAAGGCCCTCCTGGCGTCGATGGAGGCCGACGTGACCAAGGGTGAGGCCAACGTCTTCGTGGTTGAGCTGAAGGAGCAGCTGAGTGCAGCCAGGGAGAAGATAAAGTACCTGAAGGACATGCTCAACAACGCCAAGATCGACCACATAACCATCGAGGAGGACTACCGAGCTGAGGAGGGGGCGCTCGCCCAACTGAAGGCCAAGTACGCCGATCAGACTGAGAGGTGTCAGGACCTCGAGAAGGAGCTGGAGGATGCCAATGCCCTGCTGAGGGTGGAGGTCCAGGTGAAGGAGGAACTCGAGAATCAGCTCGAGAGGGAGATCCAGTTGAGAGCCCAAGCTGAGAAGCAACTGAAGATGCTGAAGGGGGAGATGAACAGCACGAAGACCTTCATCAAGCAGGAGATGCTGTCTCCAACGATGGAGGACTCCAGCGAGGCGTCACAGAGCCGAGAGGTCTTCCTGGAGTTCAGGGATATTCCGGTGGAGAATCACGATCAGTCGGGCGTGGTCGAGGGCCTCAAGAGGGAGATTCAGCTGCTGGAGGAGGAGAGGAACTCCTTGAGTGAGAAATTGTCCCAGAGTGTTGGCGAAGTGGACTCTCTGAGGGAAGACTTGAGGTCAGCGAAGGAGAGGCTCGACGAGATCACTGTGCAATTGGCGCAGATGAAGACCTCACGACTGTCGAGTGCCGAAATCATATGTGATGATGGTGACACGAAGCAGGAGGGAAATGCAGAGGTTTCTCCTGGGGTTGATCAGGTCATCCAGACGAGCTTCTCAGCACCTGTGAACGAGCACAAGTCCCTGCAGACTACATTAAATGGGACTGAGGAGCTGGGGGAAGTTCAGAAGGAGCTTGAAGACCTGAAAAATCGGTACGAAGCACTCAAATCCCAGCATGAGGACCAGGTGTCGAGAATCCAGGAGTTGACTGACGAATTGGCCACTGCCAGGGGGAATTTGGAGGCTCGGGACGATCAGGAGAGAAAACTCGTCGAGGAGATCCAGCAGTTGCAGCTTAGGCTGAGTGAAACATCGAGGGAAAAGGAGGATCTCTCGAGGCAGGTCGAGCAGCTCCAGAAAGCCCCGGAGGACTTGGAGGCCGAGCTCAGAGAGCACGAGAAGAACCTGGGATTACTGGAGATAAAAATGGAGGACTTGCAGAAGTCCGAGGAGGTGAGGACCGAAGAGTCCAGGAAACTGAAGGAGGAGCTGGCCTCGTGTGAATCTGAATACAACGCCCAGATTTTAGAGCTCAAGGAGAAACTCACGAGCCTCGAGGCCAGGAGTTCAGAGAATAATCGAGCCCTGGAGGAGCGTGTGGAGAGGATCCAGCAGCTGGAGGCCAGGCTCGAGCAGATGGAGCGCCTGGAGAACGAGATTTCTGAAGCCAATGCCCTGGTATTGAAGTGCCAGTCAGAGAAGACTCAACTGGAGATTGAAGTCAAGAAGAATGAAGAGAAAATTTCCCAGCTGACGTCGCAGCTCGAGCAGTCGACGCTGGCAGGAAGGGACAAGGACGACGAGATTGTGAGGCTGCAGAAGGAGGTGAAGTCCCACATCACGAAGATTGCTGATGTCAGCGGTGATGCTGACAATGAGAAAGCTCACAAGAGGGTCATACAGGAGTTGAGTGAGACTCGAGAGTCCCTGGAGCGTTACAAAAAGCTGAATGAAGAGCTGGAGACGAAGGTGAGGAACCTGGTGGAGAGTCGAAACGAAAATTACGAGCAGACCCAGAATATTATTGCGAGTCTTCAGCAGAATATCTTGGAGCAAAAGGCGGAGATCAAAGACCTGAAGACGACCAATGCCAGTATCATAACGAGTCTGGATGAGAAAGAAGTGGCGATGGAGAATTTCAAGAGGAATCGAGACGAGATGATCGCCAAGTACGAGGTTTTGGTGAAGAATCTGCAGGAGGACCTCGAGAGGGAGAAGAGGGAGGTCATGAGGTTCCAGGAGCTGTTCAGCAGGCAGGCACTGACCCCTCGGGAGAAGGAGGACAGCTCCATGAAGTTCAGGGCTCCCTCGGACGATCGAACTGCCTTGAAGCAGAGGGAGAACAAGGGCAGGGATGACAACACCTCTGACGAGGTGTCACCCAAGTCCTCCAGCTCGAGACGACCGCGAAGGGGGAGGAAGGCCGCTGTGCCCGAGACGTCTAATGATGAGAACGATATCCCGGTGATTGAACTGTCGGGGTCTGAGTCGAAGAGAACTACCAGGAAAACTGCTGCCGCCACTGCTGCACCTCCCAGCGAGAAACGGCCTGGCAGGAGGAAGAAACTTTTTAATCCCGATCAGAGTCTTGTGGATATTACTCCTGAGGAGGTAGGATTCACTGGTTTATTGGTCACTTCAGTTCATTTCGTTCTTCATTTTTATGGCACCCTGATTTTAATTATTAATTGAAATAATAATTGAATTGAGAGGTTTTTATTATACGAAATCCACAAATCATTGTTTACAATTATTAATTCTTGACTGAAACTAAAAGGCATTTTCAGTAAAAATTGAGATCTTAAGGAAAAATGAGTGAAAATATTTTCATCATCAAATATTTGATTATTATCATTTTAATCTTTTATATCAAATTGTATTTAGTTTTTTGTCTGAATGAGGGAGGGAATATTTTGGAAATTTATGGCACCCTGATTTTAATTATCAATTGAAATAATAATTGAATTGAAAGGCTTTTATTATACGAAATCCACAAACCGTTGTTTACAATTATTAATTCTTGACTGAAACTAAAAGGCATTTTCAGTAAAAATTGAGATCTTAAGGAAAAATGAGTGAAAATATTTTCATCATCAAATATTTGATTATTATCATTTTAATCTTTTATATCAAATTGTATTTAGTTTTTTGTCTGAATGAGGGAGGGAATATTTTGGAAATTTATGGCACCCTGATTTCAATGATTAATTAAAATAATGATTGAATTGAGAGGTTTTTATTATACAAAATCCACGAACATTGTTTACAATTATTAATTCTCGACTGAAACTAAAAGGCATTTTCAGTAAAAATTGAGATCTTAAGGAAAAATGAGTGAAAATATTCTTATCATCAAATATTGGATTATTATCATTCGAACATTTTATATCAAATTGGCTGGAGTTTTGTCTGAATGAAGGAGGGAATATTTTAGAAATTTTAATGTTTTCAGGTAACACCTTCCCCTGCATCGACTCGTTCAATGAGAGCCCGAAGGAAGTGATTCCGCAATCAAATTTATTGTTCCACGAAATTTGCTTAATGTTTTTTATAATCTGAGATAGTTTTAAGAATTGTACGCACCATCATTGTAAAGATATGTTGTAAAAAGTTTTTCATTTTTATATGTTCATTGTAACTCGTAAATTAATCGAATAAACCATCAAGATTCTATACCTGAGTAGGAGAGTGTAAGAGAGTGGAACGCCTCTCTCTTCTCATGCTTTTCTTATTTCTGCAAAAAAAAATTGCAAATTATTTAATGGCAAGGACCAGGGCAAGGCCGACGCCTTTTTATTTGTAGGAATCTGCCAAGTCATGGTAGAAAAACCGATTTTTTGTAGATTTTTCTTAGCCGATGGCTATTTTCATGAGAAGAGAACGATCGAGGGAGGTCCAAGGCAGAGATTTTGAGTACAAAAACGTACTTTTGTTGCGTAATTTTCGTAAAAACTTGTTTATGATGATGGGGTTGTATCCAGGAGGTAACATGTCCTTTACAGGGCACCAATTGCAAGAGGGAAGTACTTTTACGAGTCAGCAGATGATGTAGAATGTTTCCATACCATTATTATTTATTTATATCCATTTATTTATATTTTATGGCTTTTTATAAGGGAGGGTAGGGTAAAATGGACACTTGACTTTTTTAAAAATATTCATAACTCCGAAACCGATTTATCAATTGTGCTCAGTCTAAGCTCATCACAAAGAGGAATCATTGTTTTTCAACTGAAAAATAAAATTATTCCATTTCATGAATAATTCAACACGTCATGAATATTTCAAAAAAAAGTCAAAAATGTCCGTTTTACCCTATCCTCCCCTACTTTTCACGTACAAAAATCCAAAAAACCACGGGAACCTGCAATACCGATAGGGGGGACCTCTAACCACGTAGTCCCCTCCACCTCTCCAAGATGGCACTGCGCTCCCCTCCCGCGCCCCTAAAATTCCATGACGGTTGGCGCGGTCTGTGCACTTGTGCTCTCACTCCCAAGAACTTCTAGTGTCTCCCTCCTCCCCCCTAATTCCACAGTTTGCCAGAGATGTATCGTGTGTGAGTCCCTCACGCAGGAGTCATTTCGAAAGATAAATCGTGAAAGGAGGATAAAAAACTCCAGTGCATCAAATAAATCGAAGTGAAGTGATTGAATACATTCGGTCGGATAAAGAAAAAATAGTGGCATGAATGATGCTGCGAGAGGTGAACAGTTGTGTGAATATTCAGTCCAAACGTGAGTACATGATTATTAAACTACTGGGTAAAATGAGAGAAAAAGGCTGTTTCAATGGTGAGAATTATTTTCCCCGGGTATAATGACGTTTTTCTCGTCAACCCCAAGCCTCTTATCCCCATAAACGAGTATGTGAACCTTTCACATGAACGTAAAACGGAACAGACGTGTCACCTCCAGGGCATTTACGAGTTTACATTGGACACATTGAGGATTTCTTTAGGATTTCCTCGCCTATTTTTCTCGGGGGGTTTTTTACTGTACTTTGTCGGGGAGTTGAGGCGGGTTCGAGGGCCCATTGATTCGTGTCTCGATAGAAAGTTGCATTCGCATGAGGTGCATGAATAGTCGTGGTATTTGTGATGTGGAGGAGCGAGAACACTCGGTGCAAGTTTTTTTTGTGAGATAGAGTGGATTTTCGGTGGGTGTAGGTCCTGCACACCTGTTCGACAGACAGCGTCTCTTATCGATCTTTTTTGATCGGGTGTCTGAGGGTTTTCGGGGTTTTAGGGGCTCGGGGTGGGGTGGAGTGGGTGGGGGATGGGGAGAGGGAAATTCATTATGGAAACAAACAGCTCAGGTTTTGGAGATTTTTTTGGTAAAAAACAATTCGGGTTTTTGTAAATTTCAGTAAATGAGATATTGACATTTCAAAAATAAAAGTATTCATTTTGCTCCAGCAGCTCCTACGTTGATAATGGGGGATTTTAAAGACAAATGCCAGGAAACATTTTTTGTTGATAGTTCAAGTCTTTTGATATGTTTTCTTAGAATCACTTGCTCGAGAGATAAATGGGGGATTTTAAAGACAACTGCCAAAAAATACTTTTTGTTGATTCTTTAATTCTTTTGATATGTTGTCTTAAAACCACTTGCACCAGAGATAAATGCAGAATTAATAGAAATGAAATATTGGAGTCGTGTCTCATTGAAAATTGAATTACGTTAACGTTAATAAACAATTTGGGTGTAGGAGCATTTTTTTTAGTAAGAACTAATTTGAGTTTTCGCAAATTTCGGTGAATGAGGTATTAACATTTCAAAAATCAAAGTATTAATTTTGTTCCAGGAGCTCCTACGTTGATAATGGGGGATTTTAAAGACAAATGCCAGGAAACATTTTTTGTTGATAGTTCAAGTCTTTTGATGTTTTCTTAAAATCACTTGCTCGAGAGATAAATGGGGGATTTTAAAGACAACTGCCAAAAAATACTTTTTGTTGATTCTTTAATTCTTTTGATATGTTGTCTTAAAATCACTTGCACCAGAGATAAATGCAGAATTAATATAAATAAAAAATTGGAGTCATGTCTCACTGAAAATTAAATTACGTTAACGTTAATAAACAATTTAGGTGTAGGAGCATTTTTTTAGTAAAAACTAATTTGAGTTTTCGCAAATTTCGGTGAATGAGGTATTAACATTTCAAAAATCAAAGTATTCATTTTGCCTCAAGAGCTCCTACGTGGATAATTGGGGATTTTAAAGACAACTGCCAAAAAATATTTTTTGTTGGTTCTTCAATTCTTTTGATATGTTCTCTCAAAACCACTTGCTCCCGAGATAAATGCAGGATTAGTAGAAATGACAAATTAGAGTCATGTCTCATTGAAAATTAAATTACGTTAGCAATGAGTAACTTTAGAGATAAATCTAATAAAAACATTTATATTGTGGTTTTAATTCTCTAAAAAAAATCTTGTTTTTAACTCCTAAAATCACTTGTTTTTTAAATTTCTCATTAACGATTGGTTTAAGAGGAAAATCATTTTCTGTTGGAACTTTAATTCCCCAGGAAAAACTCCTGACAATTTTTTCCAAAACCACTCGCTCATGAGATAAATACGAACGAAAGATTCATGAATTGGGGTGAATTTTCACGGTTGAAATTTGTTGTTCAGGGAATTGAAGGTGATAAAGAATGGCAACAAAAACTGAGGACTCAGTCTCTATGGACAACGCCACCGACGGTAATTCCCCTTCATCCTCCCCCAAATCAAAGCAGCTCTAGATTTGTATTTTTTCATTCTTCTAATTTTGGTAAACATAGAGAGAAAAATATAGGATTAATTTTTGCCTCGAATTTCAATCAGAAATTCAACAGCACATCTCCTTTTGCCACTTCGCTACGGATATTTTCAGCAGTTATATTTTTCTCTCGGTGTAATAGTCAAAATCGACTTGAACCGTTTTACCCCTTCGCTGCTGAAATATTCTCAAGTCATGAGCCTTCAGAAATCCCCTAAATTGAACTTTCCGGTTCCCATGTACGAAAAAATTTAATAGAAAAACCTATCGAATTCGATTTTTCTATATAACTTATTTTTTTCATATATTTTCAATAGAATTTGCTCGACTCAAATTTTCCAATTTTTTTAAATTCTGTTTTTCTTTTCTTCTCATCAAGAAAATCAAACGAAAAAACTTGGAAAATTTGAGCCGAGGAAATGCTAAAGAAAATATCTCAATAGAATAAGTTACATAGAAAAATTGAATTCTATTTTTTCTACTGAATATTTTCTCTTGAACATTTCACTAGAATCGGCCAAAAACTAATAGAACAGTTCAATAGAAATTCAATAGAATTTCCCAACGAATTCGATAGGTTTTTCTGTTAATTTTTTTCGTCCGTGGCCCCACAACCCTGAAAACGTTGTTTCCCACCAGGTGGAAGTGTGGACAAGGAAATACTGACAATAAGCGGTTCTGATAACTCAAGCCACCGTGTGCCACCCACGTACCTCTACAACACTGGTACCGACCAGTGTGGAATAAATTCCGATCATGACAGGCACAATCACTGTTACGATCAGACCACGGATGATCAGTTGGGACCATTGCCATCGAATTGGGAGAAGGCGTACACAGAAACTGGGGAAATTTACTTCATCGATCACAACACAGGCACCTCCCACTGGCTAGATCCGCGATTATCAAAATTCCAGAAGCGTTCCCTGGAGGAGTGCCTCGACGACGAGCTCCCCTACGGATGGGAGAAGATCGATGATCAGCTCTATGGTACTTACTTCATCGATCACGTCAATCGGAGGACGCAGTACGAGAACCCGGTGATCCAGGCGAAGAGGGCACAGCAGGGCCTCAATGACCGGAAGAGCCCCAGCTTCACGAGAAATCCCAAGAAGTTGAAGGGGCAGAGGATCAGGACGACTCTGCTGAAGAGCTCGAGGGGACTTGGGTTCACTATTGTCGGGGGTGACGATACGGTTGAGGAATTTCTCCAGATTAAGAGCGTTGTACCCAATGGTCCAGCCTGGCTCGATGGGAAATTGCAAACAGGTGAGACGTTTTCCTTTCGAAAATCACTGCACTGGTGAAAATTTGGGGTAAATTTTCCGTGCCAAATTCCTGAAATTTTTATCGCGTTCCAATTCCACTGAATTTTCAGGAAATCTTGTTCTTGAAAATTCAGAATTTCGTGGAAAAATCAACGGAACTGTAAATTTCCGTTCCATTTTTCCCTGAACATTAATGGAAAACCAGAAAATTCTGGTAGATATATTCTTGAATTTTCAGGAGAGTGACACTGCATGCGATTTAGGGAAAAAATAACAAAATTGAGGAATTCTGGTCTCTATGCCCCTTGAAATCCCGGAATTTTACTGAATTTTCAGTGAAAGTTGAAATTTCATGATTTAATTATTTTTCATTTCATTTCATTTTTATTTTATCGAGGGAAATTATTAAACAATCATTTGTTTCTATGTGATTTTAATGTTAAATGATTTGACCCTGTAATTGGCCTAGGCTGTTGGGTCTTTAATAAATAAATAGCAAATAACAAATAACAAATCAATAGTAAAAACCGAAAAGATCGGGTTCTGATCGTGACAGCTTCATAATTAAAAATGTTAAGTATCAGATTTTTCCTCTATTTTTCGATATAAAATCGCTAGTTAATTAAATCAATATTTATTTTCATTTTCATTTCATCAAGACCCAACAGCACATGACCAATTACAGGATCAAATAAAATACACATGAAGTATGATAATGAAATTAACAATATGCACAATTCAACATAATATTTTATACTGTTTATTCTACAGAAGGAAGGAATTTTTTTTCTAAATCATAAAATTGCCAACAAAAAACACTCCAGTGTCCAGCACTTGAATTTCAATTGACCCTTCAACCTTTTCTCTTGATTATCAATTAATCTTGTATAAAATTATCAAAAAATCTCATAAATAGAAGATGTCACACATTTATTCCTGAATGTCTGAACGAGAAATCGCATGCATGATGTTAATAATATTGACGTTGGTAATGCAGCTGTAGATCTACAGAGAGATGTTTTCAATCATGGACAATTATACATAGCTTTTTCGAGAGTTCGATCATGAGATCCATTGAAATTTTTCACAAGACAACACCGAAAAGACGCCAAAGTCAAAAATTATGTCCACAAAGAGTTATATCTTTGAATAAATGGTATATATATTTATGTCTGTACAAAAGGAACCGACTTGATCGTATTTAGTATCCGAGATATTCACGGTTTTCCATCGATAACGCCCGTACAATTAACATTAAATTATTCTCTGATCTTCGATACCAACATAATTCCCAACAGAACCCGTGTCGATCCTCAATTGAAGTTTTCCTAGATTTCGACGTATCTCCGACTGATTCTCTATGAAAATTTCCACCCCTCTATAATACGAAAAAATTCACGGATTTCCAAAAGAAGTTTTCACAATTTCCCACGAATTTCTCCTGAGTATTACCACCGAAATTTGTATACGTGATAGCATAACATATCCATAACCCATTGATTCAAATCAACTCGCAATAATAACGCGATGAATCACATAAAATGAATCACAGTGGCATGTACAAAACGTAAAAAAAGTCACACTACAAATAACCCCCTGAAAATCCTCCCCCCAATTCCAGGAGACGTTCTAGTATACGTCAACGACACCTGCGTGCTGGGCTTCACCCACAACGACATGGTGAACGTATTCAAATCGATAACAAGCGGTGAGACAGTCTCCCTGGAGGTGTGTCGGGGTTACCCCCTGCCGTTCGACCCCAACGACCCGAACACGGAGGTGGTGACAACGATAGCAGTGAGTCCCCCCGACGACAGCCACCAGGAGGTCCCCAGGAGTCTGCAGCAGCACCCCTCGGACCTGTTGCCAGAGGACCCAGCGCTCTACATGGACCTGGACCCCTCCCTGCAGCCGGACTCTCGCTTCGGTTTCCTGGACAGCTCATTCCTCCCAGTGCACAGCCACCAGAACGGCGAGAACCTGACGACAGCCTCAGTAAACTCAATGCCCGACCTCTGCATCTCCGACAAGATCACGACCATCAAAAGGCCCAGCAGCACTGACATTCTGCTGTCAGACCGAGCGGACTTCGACGATCCGAAGGACCCCTCAAAGCCAGAATTCCTGAGCATTTCGATCGTAAAAGGCGCCATGGGCTTCGGTTTCACAATAGCTGACTCCTCCCACGGTCAGAAGGTGAAGAAAATCCTGGATCGACACCGCTGCAAGAACCTGATGGAGGGAGACATCCTGGTGAACATCAACGACATCAACGTGAGGAGCATGTGTCACTCCGAGGTTGTCCAGGTCCTCAAGGACTGCCCCAGGAGCCAAGAGGCCCTCATCCACGTCCAGAGGACAATTGGAAAGGCCAAGGACAAGAAGGAGAAGAATCCCCAGGAGTTCTACAGGAGCAAAACCCCAACGGCCGACATTTACAGCACTCAATCGAAGACAATTGTGCCTAGCAGACCCAAGACGCCTCTCATTGACACGAGAAATTGCACGAAATCCCCAGCCGACTTCAGATCCGACTGGAGAAGTGATAACGACAATGATCTGAATCCAATGGATAACACCTGCAAGTATCCCGAGTACAATCACGACGTTTACTACAACGATCCTTACAAATCGAACATGGGGAAGATCACGGATAACTTTGGGAGGATGACGAGCATTGATGACGATCCCATGAGGCATGGCAGCAGGGACTGGCGTGGGAACGACAAGATGAGTTTGGGGGGCGATTTGTATCCCATCAGTGGTGGGGGACACGAGCAGATGGCCAAGCAGAATGGCGAGCCGCCCGATTATTACAAGGATCTTTACTCCGTCAGGATGCATCAGCAGTACTCGGTCCAGGATTATGCGGTCTATGGGATGGGGCAGGAGCAGAGCGTCGACACCGGGGAGATGTGGGACAAGAGGAAAGAGACCACCAGTTTTGAGCATGAACAACCACATTCCAGCTCGATATCTAGGTAATTATGCGGATTTACTGATTTTAATGATTTACTGATTTTTATTTATTTATTTATTTGTTTGTTTATTTATTTATTTGTTTCAACACGAACCCTACAGCCGAAGCCAATAACAGGATTCAATACAAACCAGATAAAGTGTCTGATATGAAATGATAAAATGACTTTACTGATTTGTTGGGGGATACACGTGTGAAGTTCGATAGGAAAACGTAGCGAATTCGATAGGAAATTCTATTGGAATTCTCTTATTTATTTTGTGGGTAATACGGTTGATGATTTAGGGGAAGGTGGGGAAAATGGACACTTTTGAATTTTTTTTTTAATGTTCTGACGTGCTGCATTGTTCTGGGTAATCATGAGCTAATCATTTTATTGGTTGTTGAATGGGTTTTTAGTCGTCGATAACTCTGCATTGGCAGAGTGAAATTCAACGAATGAAAGCTCGATTTCAAGGTATTTTCAGAATCCTTGAAATGAGCCAGGATTCATTGAAATCGGATCGTTTGTTCAAGAGATATTGAGGATTTCAGGAGAGCTATTTTTTTAAATTCTGTTGAGACCCTTCACTCCTGGCACTTTTCCATTAATCGTTATTTAATGATCATTTCCCAGGTATCCCCAGTACCCAAATGAAATGGTCTGCCCCACAATTCCCGATGTCGAGTGGATAGAGACCCTGGTGACCCTAGTTCGCCAAGACACTGGTTTTGGTTTCAGGATAGTAGGAGGAACCGAGGAGAGATCTCAGGTTGGTTGATCATAATTAAGGATGTACTACGCCCTTTCGGCCAAACTTCACGTTTTTTTATATTTTTCTGGCAAATTATTGATCGGATTGACGCGAAATAATATAACGTTTTTGCGTTTTATCATTATTGACTGACTCACGAAGTCTCACGGTAGTGCAATCATTTTCCTGCATTTTTTCTAAAACTTTTCGACAATTCACAAAACTTTAAAACTTTTCGGAAATTCACAAAACTTTAGAAAAAATGCAGGAAAATGACTGCACGATCATGAAATTTCGTGAGCCATTAAGTAATGATAAAACGCAAAAGCTGTATATTTGTTCACGTTAATCCCATCAATAATTTACCAGAAAAATTCAAAAAACATAGAATTTTTGCGAAAAGGGTGTAATACATCCCTAAGGGGAGACTACTACGAGTTCTAAAAGTCGTTGGTTATTGGAGTGAGACTTTTCATACGCTGAAGATCGATTATATAGACCTGAAAACGAATAATTAGTGCAAAAAAAAAATTTTTTATTGCTCGTTCGCCCGAAAACGCTTAAAATGCTAAAAGAAGCCCAGGGCCTCCAATTTTGAGCTACAAAAGATTTTTTTTTTCAAAATTTTCGGAAAAATGTGTGGAACAACAATTACGAGCCATTTTTTTGGAATTCCACTTCTACACAGCTGATTTCGTGTTTTTTCATATAAAAAAATTCACTATTTGTGTAAAAAAATACAAAAAAAGTAAATTTAGCCATGTAAGAGGCGAATTACAAAAAAACTAGCTCTTAATTGTTATTCCACATATTTTTCCGAAATTTTTGACAAAAAAAAATCCTCCGTAGCTCAAAAATTGGAGGCCCTGGACTGTTTTTGTCATTTTAAGAGTTTTCGGGNCAAAAAAACTAGCTCTTAATTGTTATTCCACATATTTTTCCGAAATTTTTGACAAAAAAAAATCCTCCGTAGCTCAAAAATTGGAGGCCCTGGACTGTTTTTGTCATTTTAAGAGTTTTCGGGCAAACGAACAATAAAAAAAAATTCTTTTTGCTTGATCTTCTACGTATGAAAAGTCTCACTCCAATAACCCACGACTTGAAACTCACAGTAGTCTCCCCTTAACCCTAGCCCCCCACCGCCAATCCTCAGTAATGAATTCGATTATAAATAATGGAACGACCAGCAGGTGTCCGTTGGCCACATCGTCCCAGGTGGAGCAGCCGACCTGGACAACAGACTGAACACCGGGGATTTGATAATGTCTGTCGATGGCGAGAGTGTCATGAACTCTTCCCATCACCACGTGGTCCAGCTGATGATCCAGGCGGCGCAGAATGGGAGGGTCACCCTGGGGATAAGAAGACGAATCAACGCCCAGGATCATCTCCAGGAGAATCTGCAGGGATCGTACGACAGGCAGATGAACCTCCAGTATCCTTACGACATCACTGTCACCAGGATGGAGAACGAGGGCTTTGGGTTCGTCATCATCTCGTCTGTCAACAAGGCTGGGTCCACCATTGGGCGGATCATCGAGGGCTCGCCTGCCGAGAGGTGTGCCAGGCTCAACGTTGGAGACCACATTCTGGCTGTTAATCACGTCGACATCACCAATGTCTGTCATAAGGACATCGTCAATTTAATCAAGGACTCTGGGTACTCCGTCACACTCACCATTGGCTATCCCATTGACGACTGCTGCAGCACCACTTCGATGTCCCAGAAGGTATCAGGGAAAAGTCAATCTAAGCGTTGTCGATCGATTAATTCATTAGCGAAGTGGTCAAACGGTTTGAGTCAATTTAGTCTTTGAGTTTTCCAGAAATATTTCCGAATTTAAGGGAGATAGCGAAATTTTCATAATAACCTTTTTTGTAGAGCGAAGTGAGGGCTATTAAAAAGGTTGTGAGGAAAATTTTGCTATCTCCCTTAGTTTTCGAGATATTCATTGAAAACTGGACAATAGCCAAAATCGAATTAAACCGTTTGATCACTTCGCTACTGAGTTGATGAGAATCTAGTCATCGTCAGGGGCATTTTTTTATTATCCAAATAGAAAAAAAAAAGGCCGTGACTATTCGCACCATTGCGTGAATC